TCATCTCTTCACCCACAGTACTCCGACTATGGGTTAAATAGCAGGACTGACTGATGGGCTCTCTTACCTTGAGGTGGCAACCAGTATAGGTGAAAAACAACTCTAAATTGAAAACTAACCTGATGAGAGACCTTGTGAAGTTATCTGGTTCTAGATACACTATTGCTACTATGGCTGCTGTACATCTGGTGCCTTGATGATCCTCAACAGTTACAGGATACTAGTTCATTAACATTTGAAAAAATATTTCTATCCAACAGGGTGTGGCAGTTATTGTCTCTTCAAAACACAAAATGAAAACTAACATTTCCTATCCTATGAAATAAATAATGAAAAAAAATAATAATTAAACATAATGAAATAGAAACTTGTTCTATTGAAATAATGAACAGATATTAATTCCCAAACATGATATTAATTCTAATTTTTTGATGATTAAATATCGTGTATGCATATTCGATTATACGAAAAAGATTTGTATGCTATAATCTTCAGATTTATCTCTATATCTACTAATCTGACCTAATAAGCCAAAATAATGAACAATAACACAGTGCAGGGAATGTTGAGATCATGCCTTTGAAAAAATCATAAATTGTAGTTTCTATGATGTGCCAAAATAATGAGTCTTTAGAAAAGTTATAAATTGTAGTCTTCATGATAAGCCTAAATAATGAGCAATGATAATGCAGGGAATGTTGAATTCATGCCTTTGGAAAAGTCATAAATGTAGTCTTTGTGATAAGCCTAAATAATGAGGAATGACACAGTGTAAGGAATGTTGAGTTCATCCCTTTGGAAAAGTCATGAATTGTAGTCTCCATTGTGAATTTATTTTGTATAACAAGCAAATTCGATTGATTAATTAATAAATTCTAATCACACATATCGTATGACATTTGTGTCTAGTAAGAAGTGGCATTTGTAAAAACAAAAATAAATCTAAAATGAACAAAAACAATGTTTGTAGTTAAACTCTTTTGAAAATTAGAAGTAAAAATTAGAAATAAAATGAATGAAAAATTATGCCAGAAATGGAATATTCTTTTATTTTTATCCCACCAATAATATTATAACAGACACTCCAACAACACCATCCTAACCCCTTAAAAAATCATGAATTGGGATGTATTTGTATTTCTACAACATGATATTTATTTATTTGAGACTAGTTTTTAAGCACATAGATGCCAGAAAAAACAATTCTTTGTTAGTAACAAATACAAAATAAAATGACAAAGATGCATTTTCTAACAAGACCTTTTCATCTTATACAGTGAGGTAATTCTGAGAGAGAATTAAAAAGTCCCTAGCAGGATTCATTATTGGCGGCCACAATCTTAACAACATAAGATATGCAGATGGCACAGTGCTGATAGCAGATGCAAAAAGGAGGCTACAAGTTCTACTGAAGATAGTGAAAAAAAGTGAGAAGAAAGGCCTAAACATAAATTGCAAGAAGATAGAATGCATGGTTGTTAGCAAAAGAGACATCCCAATGTGCAAATTACAAATTGGAGATGCCAAAATCAAATAAGTACAAAAATTTGAATATCTGCGAAGTGTTTTAACAGAGGATGGAAAATGAGACACAGAAATCTGAAGGCGCATTAGGATAGCAAAAGATGCTTTCCAAAAGCTAAGCAAAGTATTAAGAGAAAAATATAATTAGAAACAAAGAAAAGCGGACTGAACTGAAAGTAATATCAGTTCTCCTATATGGCACTGAATCCTGGACAATCTCCCCACAGATAAAGTTGAGACTTGAAGCAACAGAAATGTGTTTCTACAGAAGGATGCTGAGAATACCATGAACCAAAGACATGAGCAACAACAAAGTTCGCAAGACAATAGCAACAAAAGTGACTTAACATTATGAAGCAGTTGAAATTTCTCTAGCACATAATGAGGAAAGAAGATTTGGAGAATTAGATACTCACAGGACTGATTGAAAGTAAAAGAGTAGTCACTTTTTTGTGTCTTAATGGCCTTGTTTGGGGTAAATTGATTTCTTTTAAAAAATCAAGAGTTTAATTTCTTTTATATCTTATTTTTTTTTAAATGGATATGAAAAAAGGTTAATTTGCAGTATAAGTTTTGAAAATTTAATGTTCTAAAATTTTAAAAAATTGTTTTATTTTTGAAAAAATAAATAAAATCAAAATCCCTTTTAAGTTTTATTTCTTTACTGTTAGTCTTTCTTTTTAAATTTTAAAAGAATGGTAGTAAAAAAGCAAGTGTCGTTCGTTTAACTTAATTTGAACACAAAATCAAGAATAGCATGTGACCGATGATAGGAGTGGTGGATGTCAGCTGATTTTTTTAGTGAAAAAGAAATTAAAAAATGTCTTACTCTGAAGTTAACTACAACGGCGGCAAAAATCTTGAAAAAAAAAAAAAAAAAAACACTTTACAATACAAGGCTACGCAAAAGAAAAAAAAAACTTTTAAAATGTTGTAGACAAGAAACCTTAATGAATAACGATAATTATAAAAATGAGCTTAAGTTTGATACGCCCAGTTACAACTCATTGCATCGCGAGAGAAAGAGAAGGGGAATGAAAGAAGTGGTGAAAAGAGAGAGAAAATGAGAGAGGGAGAAAAAAGAGAGGAGTAGTAATGAGAGAGAAAGAGAAAGACGGAAGAAAGAGGAGGAGGAAGAAGAACGTGGTAGAGAAAGTGAGAGAATAAGAAGAGAAAGAATGGAATAGAGGGAGAAAAGAGGGACATCAGAGGGTGAGGTAAAGAAAAAGAGAAGAAGAGAAGAGTAGGAAGAGAGAAGTGGGGATATAAAAGAGTGAAACGAGAGAGGGAGAGAGAGCGAGCGCGGCAAAGTGAGTGTATTGATTTTGGTAATGTTGACCTCTTCACCCACAAATGACACACGGGACAAACACACGGTTTGCCATTTTTTGCGTACGTGGGTCGGGACACCATAAAGCATTCATCTTGAAAAGTGAAAACTAATAGACTTGTAACACTTGTTCATTTTCTTTCTTTCTTTCTTTCTTTTCTTTCTCAGTCTGTTCATTCTATCTATCTATCTAAAATAAATAAAATTATTCAACAATTAAAAAACCTGGTAACAAAATAATGAATTAATCTCATAAATCATCTCTAATCTTGAGCATGAATTATTTGTCTGTGATTCGAGGCGATATCATATTCTTAGAATCGCCTTGTTCTGATTCCATAGCCGAATTGTCACGTGTGTGTCAGGAGACTTTGTGTCATTTTTAGCCTAATTGATAAACAACTCTTCTTATCCGACCTATCTTTTCAGCTTGATCATCTCTGTCTGACTTTAAAAAAATGTAGCAATTGTTTTAAAAAAAAGAAAAAGTTCATTTTATATATTTACTTATAAGCTTTTTACTACATTTTTTGTAAAACATTTTAGCAGTTTTAATAGCTTTACAGCCTTAAATTGTTGCTGTGTTTTTCAAAGATGCATATGAAACAAAAATTTTTTTTATTTATCTCAAACTCAAACATGTGATTTTCTAAGTCAAACCAGATGAGATACATTTCAAAATTAAAAGGAAATATTTCAATGAAAAGGTTTAATTAATTAATTAAAAAAGAACGGGTTAATTGCCCTTTAATCATTAAAGAGCAATTAATTAACCCGTTCTTTTTAATTAAAGTTTAATGTCAGGTTTTACGACTTTGGAAAAGTTCTGATATAGAAAATGGTAGATAACTTTTTTTATTTTTGTCAGTCATGTCCAAAGTGTATTATCTCCAGTCAGTAAACAACCAATTTAAAATACAATCAATTTAAGAACATTTGATGAAGAACAATTGAAATGAAACTAGCGGAAAACATTTTTTATACTCGTAAAAAAAAGTTTTCTTCGTTTTATTCATTTTTCCATGATAATGTATTGAGTCCAGATTTTCTAATTAATTAGTTATTGTTGTTGTTGCTGGAGCAGCATGCCAACAAAATTACGCCCGATACAAATATTTTACGAAGTCCAATATATAACCATCATCATGGCAGCCAGTGTGATCATCAGGGTATAACAGGTACATGCTAAACAGGCAAATGTGCGCGAGGTGCAGACAGGTTTTGATACAAGCAGCGTGTAAGTCGGGTAACCGGAACCTTGTTCACACAGATGGTCTCCGATTTAGGTTGTTCTCAAGTATTTTTAGATGCAACTAACTCCCTGAGTCACTTTGTCTTTCCTTCTGCTCACACACACACACACACACACACACACACACACACACACACACACACACACACACACACACACACACACACACACACACACGGCCATGATGCTCCCCAACCCCTATTACTCGTGCTCATGAACAGAGATTCCAAGTGTGTCAGCCCCACACGCCCAAATGGTCAGTTCAACTGAGAAGTAAATCTGTGGAACTGAATGGTATGCTTACTGTAGCCCATCTTAATTCACTCAACTTTTTGGAAATTAATGAAAATACTGTTTATGTGATGTCAATGTTTAAACTTTTAAAACTTATTGGATTTTTTTCTTAATTGTTATGTGAAATTCAATTTAATTAAAAGTCAAAAGTTTGCGTTAACTACACTATGCAGTATACCCTGTATTTGGGAAAGAATGAATTAAATTAGAGAAGATGGGATAGTAAAAATATGTAAAAAAGAAGGAAGGAGTAAAAAGAATATTTGAGAGGGTGAAAAAAGATTGAATTTAAAAGAAAAAGAAAAAATAAGAAAAGTCAAGAAAGAAGGAAGATATGAAGGAATAAAGAAAGAGTAATTGCAAAAACGAAATAAAAAAGGGAAAGAAAAGGAGAGAAATATGAAAAAAATAAGAGAAAATATATAGAGAGAGAAGAAAGAAAAAAGAAAGAAATAAAGAAAGAAAAAAAAGAAAGAAAGAGAAAGAGAAAGAAAGAAAGAAACCGGAAGACGAGGAGCTTGTCACGTGACAAGTCAGAAACATATAAAACGAAGTCGAGGCCGGAAATTCAAGAGTTGTGTATTTACTCAAAACAGAAACATGGACTTATCTTTTAATTGTCGGCTGTTTGCTTTTATCTTAATTGCTTTGGCAATATTCGCTGCAGACGATTCGAAATGGAACAAAAGAAAGGTAAATTAATAAAATATAATTTCTTTTTTTTTTTTGTAATCCTGTTTTTAAGTTGAATTCCAAAGGTTGGTTGTTCCAGCGATATTCACTCAAAATCAGCAGATATGATTTTTTTTTTTTTTTTTTTTTTTCGAAAAAACGAAAACAAAAGACATATTATTATTGTTGTTTTCATCCGTAGAAAACGGAATTTAACAGCAAAATCCTTCTTGGAGTAATTTTAAATAATAATGATCGATTGAAAAACGAAACAAAAACATTTAACAACAATCTATGGTTGTTTAATTATTAAATCAAAAGTCAAAACCTGATTTCCGTGTAAAATCAACAAAAACAGTCGAATTTATCTTCCTGACAATTTTTTAATGAAACTATTTTTAAAATTTTACCAATTCTCTTCATTTTTTCTAACTGATGTTTAACCATAAAAAAAAAAAAAATGGGCAAATCATGATTTATCGTCGAGTTTATTTAGAAAATCTAACCAAAGGAAGGAATGCAAATATTTTTTGCACTTGATTGAGAAAATGGATTTTCCCAGAAAAGTAAAAAAAAAACACATTAAAAATAGAATCTGAAAAAATCACTTAACTGTGTCGCATTTAAAACTTTTAAATTGGCAAAAGCTCAAAAATAAACATTACCTCGCCGTCTTTTTTTTTTTTTTAGTTTTCACAGTTGTAATCGTAGAAACGAAATCAAACACTTTGTTGATATTATTAATTAAAAATAAAACCGTACAAAATCTGTTATTGTTTTGTTTTTTATGGACATGAATAGATTCTAAAATGATTCTTTCTATTATTATTAACCTTGATTGATAACGTTTAACATTTTTTGTCGCTTGTCTTAGCAAAAAGCTTTTTCTTTTCATTTTTGTATATTTTTACATAAAAGTAAAACTTTTTTGTAGCCCCCCGCCCACAATCCTATAGCCTCCCAAACTATAAAAAATAATCATTTTCCTAAGTCTTGAGGGTGGAAAACTTATTTTTTCTTTTTACTCAATCAGATTTTAAAATTAAAACGAGAAGTTGTGATCTTAACTGAAATTTACGAAATTTAAGTTTCTATAAAAATCCCGTCTTTTCCCCTCTTGAAATAAACAACAAATCACGTGTTCTAGGATTTAAATATCTCGTCATCTTTCACTATACAACAACTTCAACAATAGGAATTCTTTTACTAACATTGTTTTAATTTTGGTTACAGAAACATTTTTGTTCTGTTTTCATATGCATCGGAATTAAAAATATATATTTAAAAAGACCTGGGGTGGTGTTACTTCCCAAATTTCTGTGACAGTCTTCACTAGGCATTTCTTTTTTTCATAAGACATTTGATTTGAACATTCTTTTTAAAATATCTTGGTTATTTGATGTTGTACTTTTATTTTTACATTTAATTAACCCACATTAATAACAATTTCTAAGCTGTATTTGCTCCCGTTGCAAAGTCTTCCTCTATTTTTTATTTATTCGGTGCAAAAACTTTATTTTTTAAACATTAGAGCAATTCCAAATTAAAATCGAAATTTTTGAGTAAAACAAACAAGCGTAACTAAGTTTGTAGCATTTTTTGATTTTTGAAGATAAACAAAATTTAAAAACCGCCTTACACAAGTCTAGGGTTAATTTATTTCCTTCCTTATCAACCGAAAAGTCTACTCTAAAAAGCAAAGCTTTAGAGAATAAAGTTTTTAGTGTCTGGAACCATGTTCGTCTACTGAATTATTTCCCTTTGATTTCTTTACCGACCCTCATATTTTGAACAATATTTTTCTTTCTTTTTAAATCCTGTCTTTCAACTCCTGAGAGCATTTTCTCTCCGTTCGTTTTTAGGCTTGGACTAAGAACCCCCCCCCCCCAACCTCAAAAAATGATGTGTCCGGGAGCTAAAATTTTAATTATTCTTTTGGACACCGTATCGTTTTTTTGTTTCTGATATTCTACCTGACAATTCGTTCATCTACTTTTTTTTTCTTTTATTCCACTTAGACATTTCTTTTCAAAACTGTTGAATTTTTTAAAAACTTATTTTGTTTGTAAAATACACGCACACTCTACTATTTAGGCACCCCCTCGATAAAAAAAAAAAAACTATGCCTAATTAAACAAAAAAAAAAAAATGAAAAGGGTTTTCTTTTCTTGAAATCTTGATTTTTAGTTTTAATTCCAAACTAATATTCACAATAAGCAAAATACCATTTTTTTTTTTTTTTTTTTTTTTAGTATTTCAAACTGAATTTAAATTAAACTTTTTTTCTCCTTATCTGTTCTTGAATTCCTCCATATTGCAATTGACAGAAACACAATATAATTCTCTTCGTTAAAAAAAAAAAAATCTTTCAAAAATAAAATATACTTTCTGAAACTTTATTTGAGGAAGATTAAATGATTTACAGGTTAATTAATCTGAATTGAAACGAATATTACTTACTTTTAGTTTAGTTTATCACAGACAGGCATTTTTTTTAACACTGAGGGGTGATTTATTGACGGCCTGATGTTTTCGGAAATTTAAGGGCGAGAACTGAGGAAATATCAAATTTAGACGAATGCAACATGAACACCTTTCTCGTATTTTTTTTTAAGTACCCAGTAATGTAAAAAAACGTAAATATTTTAAGCTTTCTAATATTTTATTGAATTTTAGTACCTCCGAAGAAAAGCAGTAAAATGAAAGATTTTTCTTGAAGCTTTGAATTTAGTTTTAATTTCAAGCCAATATTTTAAATTTAATATTTCCAATAAGCAAATTATTTTTCTGTATTTCAAAAATCAACAAAATAATTTAAATTGATTGGAATGAGTTTTTTTTATTTATAAATCAGCTATTTAGCCATATTTTCAATTCTCCCAAAAACTTTATCTGAGCAAGTTGAGCTGATTTAAAACTTTATTTGAAACTTTAGGTTGTTGACAGCTCCATTGAAAGCGTGATATTTGGAAAATAACTTTTCTTTTTTTTTTTTTTCTACGAGGGACATATCCGTAAAAATTACTTGACAAAAATATGTTAACGTCTTTTATGTAATTTTTTTAATTACAAAGTAATCTTAAAAATTTTGGAGAATATTCTAAGTAATGTTTTATTGAATTTTAATTTTAGGTACTTTGGCTTTACTATGGTTACCACTCTTATTTTCTGATGTCATATATGGATGTTTTGCATGTACAAAAATCTGCCAGTTTATATTAACACACAAAAATTCAAATTCTTGAAATGCTGGGGATTACTGAATTTTAAGCTTTTCCATTTATGTTTAGTTAGTAAATATAGTTTTTACTTAATTATGACAATACCACCTGACTGCTAAAAATTAATGCAGAATTTTAAGACTTGAGTTTTTGTAAATTACTCTCTAATTAAAATTTTTAAAAATAAAAAATTAAATGTCAAGCAAATATTTTTTATTCATTTGTGAATTAGTCTTGAGTTTCAAAATCTGATAATTATTTGATTTTTTTTTTTTTTTTTTTTTTTTTTTTTAAATTACATAGTTTTTATGTTTAAGATATAATGTACTTAGTACTTGCATCTAACAATACTATAGAAAAACTTTATCAAAATTAGGTTTTATTTTTTTTAAACTGCAAACTTATTTAAAGATTTGATATTTTTTCCTTTTTGTATTGTGTAGCTACACATGAGCAAGAAAATAGTAGGTCATAATCATGTGACTTTGATCGATTGGTCAAAAAATGTGAAATTTGCTGTACTGTTTGTTTATCTGTTATTTTGGTTGGTGTAACCTTTGATTTGTAATCTATTTTTTATCACTTTTTGGACTTGGGCTCTTAGCATTTACTATTAGAATTGTTGAGTTATTTTCCATTGGTTACAGTAATGAATATTTCCAACATTGCACCAAAAATCCCCCCTCTCTCTGCGATCGGAGGTGGAGGGGGTGATTAGGGCCCCCAGGCAGTGCTTTGTAATACTCGCACTTTTGCTTCCCCGCCCATGAATTTGTTTTGCTTATCCTAGGTTTCATAAACAAACACTATAAAATTCACTATTTTTTTTTATCCATAATGTTGAATGTGTTAGTTAAAATTGCTCAAGAAAAATTTCAAGTTCATTTAATATGGAATGATCTCTATTATAACATCATTAATTTGTATTTGTTTTTTTTGTTTTTTTTTTTAAGCTGACTTGTTCACTTATGTTGCATATGATCCATTATTGTACATAATTAGGTTTCAATAAAATTTGTATTTTTATATGAAAAATATCAAAAATGAGATACAGTAGAGTAGACTGTGGAGGAGTATATGACCTTTGCACCAGCCCTAATAGTATTTGTCTTTACCATATCTATGATGGAATCCTGTTCCTTAGAGAAATATTTCTGTCATAAGTAAAGAGCTTTGTAATGCATTTTAACAGTAAACAAATGAATCAATTTTTCATTAATGGCAGTGATTCTATACAATGACACTCTTTCAAGATATTCCAAATGCCTTTCTTCCTTAAATAGGCAAACTTAGACTTTTTTGGGTTAACATTGTCATGTTTTAACGAATATTCAAGTGAGATTTCATGAGTTGCTAAACAAATTCAATTTTCTCATTGATCAAATGTGAATGGCAATTGCTAGTTGTCTGTAAATTTTTTATATTGTACTTACTTTTATATAGGTTTAGGTAGAAATCCTTTTTTTCCTTCTCTCATTGATTCTAAAGGTAGACCCTTAACACTGAAATGATGGATTCATGAGATTTGCCTTAGAAAACCAAAGAATTTAAATGAAAAACAAGTTTGTTTTTTTAATTAAAATTCTCATTTATTTCACAATGAGATTCCTAGATCTTAACAAGTCAAAGAAAGAAAAATGTTTGTAAAATTTTCATTCGCAAAAGGCACCCATTATGGTGAGCACAATTCACATAATTGGTATATCTCTGAGCAAAACAAATTACAGATTTTTCATTCTTCAGTGAAGAACCTGTGAAACATTTTTAATTTTGTCTGCATATGTGTTGTAGAATTTACCT